GTAAGTTCTATTTCTGGTACAAACACAAAAAGGAGTTAAGACAGGGGTAAACAGCGTCCTGTCTTGGAATCTCTCTGGGTATCTCTCTCTGCGCATGCGCGTACAGCACGCATGTGCCCAAAGCCTGAACTAACACTTGGTGACAAAAGGGAGTATGATTATAAAACATATAATACAGAGACCTGAATCAATAATGGTAAATAGTACAGAGTTACATATTACAGCTATATTCGTCTCATATATCTACAATTACTGTATTATTTACTTTATTATTATTACTGTACAGTATAGTCTCCATTTACGCGGTCAATTGAACCCATGGAGGTCCGCGTAAAATGAGAAATGCGTAAACGAAATAACAGAAAATATGGGATTAATTGAAATAGAGACTGGGCCGATCCCCAAACTCCACTTTTTCCGACACAATACGTACGTTGTAGTAAAAATAGTATCTTAATTTTATGATGGTATGCACACAAACATAATACAGAAGAGAAATATCATTAAGAGAATAATATACTGTATCAGGTAAAAGAAAAATCAAGGTTTAACACTTGCGTTAGTAGAAGAGATGGGTCAGCATACGGGGATGGGGGCTGGTTCTGAGGCAGGGGGCAGATTAGTGGCCCTCCGGTGAATCACTATCACTATCCACCACAGATGTCAGGGCCTCCCTGACAAACCCCTCAAAGTCACCATCACTGTCACTATCACTGACTTGGGCTGGCTGTGGTGGGTTGCGGGCGAAGAAGTCGGTGATGTTACGCTGACAGCTAGTGTTGATGTGGTCATGATACATCTTGATATACGGCTCCATAGTTTGGTCTAGATGGTTATTGGAGACTTCATATCGGTGAGTGAGAGGGTCTTTGGAAAGGATGAGCTTGAGTTTCTCGGCAAACTCGATGGCATCCTTTATATCACCATGTGTTCTGTTCTGGTGCTGCGGCGCCACCTGCCTCCTCACTGACTTCATCGCCTTCCAACATATCGTCGGCAGTCACCTCAGGATCTCTGATTACCTCCATGATGTCGTCGTTGGTGGTCTCGGAGAAGCAGCAAGGTCCACTGCTACTGCAACAGACTGAGCCTCTCCAGCCACAGGTTGACTCTGCCTCCCACCTGGGATACCCTGCAACACATGCTGCCACGCGTGACGAATCGTTGCCACAGACAGCTGCCCCCATGCCTCCATCAAGAAATCAACAGACAGCTTGACGTTAAACATTTTCCAAAACTGTTTAACTCGCACTTCATGCTCCGCCAACTCTTCTTCTGGATCCTCGTCTTCGCTCTCGCTATCTGTGCCACTCAGAAGGTTCCGCAACTCAACCTTGGTGTTGGTGTAGTCGTTCAGCAGCTTAAACTTCTTTGCGGAGAATGCAGTCTTAACGTTGCATATCAACTCCTGGTCCATGGGCTGGACTAACGACGTAGTGTTGGGAGGAAGGAAGACCACTTTTACACTGGGGTGACGATCCAACATTAGGAACGAGTGTCCTGGTGCGTTGTCAAGCAGCAACAAAATGTTGAATGGCACATTATTTTGCGCACAGAATTTCCTGACGTCAGGAACGAAACAGTCGTCAAACCAGGAGAGGGACAGACCAGTGAACATCCACGCCTCACGTGCGGTTAGCCAGTGGACATTTAGCTTGGTCATGTCCATGTTCTTGTAAGCGTGCAGCTTGCGGGCTGTGTGGATCACCGACAACTTGAGCTTACAGGTGCCGGAAGCATTGCTGGTAAACAGGACATTGATGCGCTCCTTCTACAACTTCCGCCCCCAACACTTTCTGGCAGACTTGACAATGAGGGTCTTGGAAGGTAATTTTTTCCAAAACAGACCGGATTCATCCACGTTGAACACCTGGTCGTCGGTGCACTGTCCTTCCTCCCTAATGTCTCGTAAGAATGGAGGAAAATCCATGGCGGCAGCACGGTCAGCACTGGCTCCTTCACCAACAATGTTAATGTTGGTTATCTTGTTATGTTTCTTAAACCCTTGCAGCCACCCAGAGGAAGCAGTGAAGGGTTTGGGCTCTGCAATTCCCATCTTGCGTGCCACTGATTCGTAGAGTTCACGGGCGTAGTCCTGCATTGCCCGCGTGTCTACCGCCATGTTACGTCTTGCCTGATGAATCAAGAAGCTTACCAGTAAATTCTCAGTCTTGAGCAGCACCTTATTCTGACAATACTTTACCATTGAAGCACCTGCAGACTTTGTGATGCTCATGTGTACTTTTATCTTGACGGCATCCTTCTTGATTGAACGAATCCTAGATTCGTTAACTCCATGCTGGCACGCGAGATCAACTTGTCGGGTTCCCTTTTCTAAGTTCTGGACGATTTTGTATTTTACTTCGTAACTTAGGGCACGTCGTATCTTCTTGGGCTTGGGGCGGCTTGGTCCAGGTAATTCAAGGTTTTTCTGGGGTGGTGGGGGTCCAGCGGAAGCCATTGTTGAACACATTAGTGGGCACAAGAGAGAACAATATACGCGGAGACTGTGAACAATGAAACTGGCCCGGCTAGGTCAGTGGCTTCTTCCCTCCTGTGGCTGGGCACGTCATATTACATTAGACCAATCACAGCTAGCGGCAGAGGGAGGTAAGGATGCGTGACCCAATCACAGTCCGATACGTCACATGACGTCAGCGATAACGCAACAGCGACATACTGCGCACCCTCCCCGCTTCCCGCGTATGGTCAAGAATGGACCGCGTGAATAATAATTGGCGCGGCGCGTCTGGACCTCTCGCCGCGTAATGATGCAATGAACCGCGTAATTAAACATTTTCATTCTGGCAAGGTGCCGCATAAATGACCAAACGCGTAAACCAAATCCTCGTAAATCAAGACTAAACTGTATGTAAATTTTAAAAATACAGTTGTACCCCACTTAACGCGGTCAATTGAACCCAGAGGGTCCCGCGTTAAGTGAAATCCGCGTTAAGTGAACAACAGAACATATGGGATTAATTCCAATAGAAACCGGCCTGACCCCCAAACTCCACTTTTTGAAGGCACATACCTATGTTGTAGTAAAAATAACATCTTAATTTTATGATGGTACATGCACACAATTAATACTTAAGAGAAATACAGTCGCCAAGTTAATGTCCATTCAAATAATGGACTCAACTCCCTCCCCCTCTCACACTACACTGCTGGCTCTTCCCTCTCAGAGAAATTTTTGGGGGAAAACCACTAAATTTTAATAAATAATACCTCAAACTAAAGTTAGGATAATACAATTGACATTGCTGGATTCCTTGTAAGACCAGGAATATTTTGAATATAAATGTCATATATTTTGCACAAAAGATAACATAGTTACCTAGAGAAAAAATTTTATCTAAAATTTGTATGTTTAATGAAAAATATATGATGTTTATATTCAAAATGATCACCAAATTATAAGAATTCCAGCAATGTAAATTATATTCTGACCGGGTAATTTGTATGAATTTTATGAGCTAAAACAAATATCTTCAGTTAATAAAAAAAAAAATAATCTTCACAACACTATCTGTCAATCAAAGTACCCCACCTTGCCTCCCCCCCTCTTCCAATGGCGCGGTCAGTCCCAACCCTCCCCCCCACCCCCCACCAATCCTCCCTTCCAGGGTTTTTAACATTTAGTATTAAATAATACCTCAGATTAAAGTTAGGATAATATAATTGACATTGCTGGATTCCTTGTAAGATCAGGAATATTTTGAATATAAATGTCATATATTTTGCACAAAAGATAACATAGTTAATTTGAGAAAAATTTTTATCTAAAATTTGTATGTCTAATGCAAAAATATGATGTTTATATTCAAAATGATCATCAAATTATAAGAATTCCAGCAATATAAATTATATTCAGACCGGATAATTTGTATGAATTTTATGAGCTAAAACAAATATCTTCAGTTAATAAAAAAAAAAATAATTCTTCACAGGGTAACAGATGGTCGGTCGGTCCCTCCCTCCCCCCCACCCCCCACCAACCGTCCCAAGGAGATGTGTGGGATAACCACTAAATTTTAATAAATAATACCTCAAACTAAAGTAAGGATAATATAATTGACATTGCTGGATTCCTTGTAAGACCAGGAATATTTTGAATATATATGTCATATATTTTGCACAAAAGATAACATAGTTAATTTGAGAAAATTTTTTATCTAAAATTTGTATGTCTAATGCAAAAATATGATGTTTATATTCAAAATGATCACCAAATTATAAGAATTCCAGCAATGTAAATTATATTCTGGCCGGGTACTTTGTATGAATTTTATGAGCTAAAACAGGCAGTCAGGCAGGGTGGGGCAAATCTAAAAATAGCGTCTCGAGCCAGACACTCACCGCGTATATGTGGAAAAAATCCGTGTTAAGTGAAAGTTCAGCTCTGGCGAGGCACCGCGTATATGATAAAACGCGTTAAGTGAAACCGCGTTAGGCGGGGTAATACTGTATTTATATTTGGACAGTAACTATAGATAGAATATTTTATGTGGCTGCCAAGGCAACTTTTCAGAACCCCTCGGTTATATTGGATTCATTCTGAATTCAAATCGTTAAATTCATTAAAAAAAAAAAACATATGAATGAAGCCAAAATCCAAATTAATGAGGGTACAGCATATAACGGATAAATGTTATGCATGGGTGGTGTGGGGACGCTACCCATGGACTTAACTGCCAACTGGCTCAGCTGACTTGCACAAAATGTGTTCTAACTGATCACTTTCAGTCAAATTTTCACGTTAGCCCAGTTCACAACCCATGTTTGAACAAATTCGTACTGAAGAAACCCATGTAAAGCAAGGGGGCAGTGTAATCCATTGTTTTATGAAAAATGGCAAAAACAGTAAGTAATGACTATGAAAATAACAATATTAATTCAATTTATGTAAGTTGTCCACAAATACCCCTAATAAATGCCATGTAAATCACACCTTCTACTATTTACTTTAACTTAACTTGGCAAACCAAAAAACTTACCTCTTATAAGCAACATCTTCCACTGATGCCATATCTAACACAACTCTTAGCACATCTGTAAATTATAATATCTCTTTAATAATCCATTCAAGGTATAATTTCAACTAAACATTCTTTAAGAATCCTACAGGGAGTCCCAGACTTACAAACGCCTGCCGCTTCAAATTGGATTAAACTTTAAATGTACAGAATTTTATTTACCTAATGACTCATTTTTTACTTTCAGTTACTGTACTTTATCATTCCATATCTTCTTTTTTCTTAAATTAAGTAATTTTAGTTGTATATAAGGACTTAAGCTACTATATAGTGGGATTTTTTTTAAATTTTCTGTAAGAACGGTACGCACATAGCAAGTGTTTCGACTTTTGTACATTTTCAACTTAAGAACGTCCAAAGGAACTGAACGTGTTCGTAATCTGGAGACCCCCATATATGTATGTATATATGTTAGCTGGAACAATTGGTGCAGAACACTTCCGGGAATGAGAGATTTCCGGTAAAAAACTCTCTCTCTCTCTCTCTCTCCTCGCAACTTAAGCGTATTTTTCTTACGAGGTATCAACTATACCTGTACGAGGATTACCCCGGGGGTTAGGTTACAATTTCCAATTTCAAACTCAAATTTTTCAAAAAAATTTATGTATAGTGCAAACTACTGTATAGCATGTTTATATTCAAATTAATTACTATCTTATAAGAATCACAGCAATGTAAATTATATTCTCCCAGGTGAGTTCAGTGACATTTTATAGGAGAAAACTTAAACTCCTCTATATGACAGATAAATAAATATGCACTGGGTAAACCTTGGAGCCGGCTGTCAAAACACCTCACATCCCCTCCTCCTCCCTGGGCCCATACAAGTCTAAATCCAGTGATGGAGGGCAGTGAATACCGTATTCAAGGACTGTGTGCTGGAGTACTGTGTGTATTGGAGTACCATGTATGTTGCAGTACCACGTTTGTGGCAGTAGTGTGTATTGCAGTAGCGTGTGTGTGCAGTACTATGTTTGTTACAGTACCATGTGTGTATCAGTACAATGTGTGTTACAGTACCATGTGTTTTGCAGTACCATATAATGCCAAGTAGTGACGTGCCTTCCTAATATTATGTATTTTAGTAATTATTAGATGTTTTAATTGCCTGTACATTGGCCTGGAAAGTTAATGCAAGGCATATACATATGCAGGTACAAAACTAGAAGTCACATTCTGGATTGAACAAAAAAATAATTATGAATAAAAATACCAGAGATAAACAAAATTATATGTTTCTTACAAAAGTTTTTACCAGAGTGACTGATTCCAGCAGGTACTAAAAAAAAAATATTAAATATCCAGTACAGCTATCTTTATATTGAAGAGAGATCACTACTGTAATACGTTTAGAGACCCTTAAGACTAGGTATGTCTCACCTGGAAACTGGAGAAGTGTGGCAGGTACATGTGTCATGATAGTTTGTGAAGATAATGATCCATCATCTCCGCTTTTATCACCAATTACCCCCAACAAATCTAGCATTTCTCCTTCAGTGTCACTGGTAACTTTCTTTACACCTGATAAGAGGGAAAATTATTTCTTCCAGCAAAAACCTCCTTGAAGATAAGAGAACACATTGCTTCTGCAAAGTATGACCAATCAGTAACCCCAATAATGCTTTTCCCATTCATAACATTAATTCTATGGGAAAACACACCAATATCACCTAACATTTTGTTTTATAGGAAGGAATCTATGACATAAATAGAGGGCATATTGCATGTTTATAACACTATACTTTAAAAACTATATAAAAAATGTAAAAAGTAATATTGAGGTGGAGGAACAGAGATACTAATACGGACAAGAAAGCAGTGTGATAACATCTCTTTTTAATCCTTCACACCATTTTTTTTTTTTGTACAGGTTGACAACCCTTTATCCGAAATTCCGAAAACTGAAAAGCTCTGAAAACCGAAAGTTTTTTTGTGGGTCATATTATTATTATTATTATTATTATTTTTTTTTTTTTTTTTTTTAAACAGTGATTAGCCATTCTGAAAACTGAAAAATTCCGAAATCCGAAATTCCTCTGGCCCCAAGGATTTCGGATAAGGGATTGTCAACCTGTATCATATTCGCCACTTATCAGCTTACTAGCCATTTGGGTGCTCTATCCAGTGTTAGTACAGGAGGAAACTGGAACCCGGGAAACCTGTGGTGCTTGGTCGGGTCACACTGGATAACACCCTTCTCACTTAGAACTTATGAAATACAAGTAAATACGTACTGAAAGTGATTCCAACATTACCCAGATATGTGGCTGCCATAGATATAATAACATCCTTATCAGTAGATGATGGTCCCAAGAGAAGTAGAAATGGAGTCTTGTGGGTGCGAATGAGTGTGTATACTGCATCCACTACCAGAGCCACCCCCATAGTAATACCCCTGTGACTACACATCAGCTCATCCACACCCTGGGAAATCAAAACCTGGAAAGAAATCATATTTTCAATTCGCACAAAAAAGGTAAGAAGGTAATATTTTGACAATGAAAATTTCAAATAAGATCTTTTCTTTTAAAATTTTACATATCTAAAAATTAAGAATTCTGGTCACTCACTGAGAACTTCTGAAGTATGAAAACCTATTGATGGCCAAGGGAGAAGGTGAAAGGCCAAAACTACCTCCAAAAAGTTGACTAGAGGAGTAGGGGCTCTGGAAACTTACCATTATAGTTATGATGGTACAGGTGTAGTCGAGTTACTTAAAGTTTTAACTGTTCAATCAGATGCTTCACTAGCCAAATATGACAATGAATGGATATTTGAAAAGGTTCTTAGTGCTGAACTGGAAGCAATTACATCATTCTTTGCAATAAAGTGTCCTGTCATTGAATGATTACACCCTCAGTCAGCTGAGGGGCTCAGTCATAGGCTTCTTAGGGGTTGGGACCCTCAGGTCACCCAATGAGGAATGTAAGCTATGTGAATTAGTACTATACTAACACCTTAAAATTTCCTACTCAATGAAATATGAGAAATGAAACACAAATCTTTGTAAAAATAATAGCAAACCTTTGTAATCTCCGTTGACGCTGTTTCTTCGGCCAGATACTTGGGTCCAATATCATCACTTAAAGCAATGTTTGTACCAAGGTTTGGCAGCCAGACTGGGACTCGTGGTGTCTTGGGTAAGTCATCTACTATTCCAATGCCACCTTCAATGACACATCTTTGAATTTCATGCCAAACAAGCTCTTGTACCTTATGGAGAGTTAAGCATAATCTTATAAAAAGAAGTTCTTATACACTGATAATCAAGTAGAGTATTACAAAAAGTATGATGCATTTCAAAACTGACACTTCAGTAAATTATCAAAAAATTAATCATTCCCCAGTTTCAACACATCACATTTATAATTACCAGTATATGAAAAGTTTCATCCACTCTGACAACCCCAGATATTTATGTTATACAAATTATGTAAGCCTCCATCTACCTGTATACAGTTGCCTCTCAAATTATGCAGACTTAATTTATGCATTTTGGGAATAATTTTGGTGTTGTATTTTTTATAATTTTTAACATTTACATGGACATACAGTAAACCCTCAACATTAAACAGGGTTAGGTTCCTCAAAGAAAATAAAAGTGAATGTCAAATCTGGAAGTGTTAAACTTAAGACATTTTTGGAAAAATAGGGTTAGGGGATTCACACCCCCAAGAGGTACCTTTTATGAGTAATATTGTTCATTTTAAACACTGTACAGTAAATTAAATACAGGTAAACTTCTATTTGCGATGGGTTAGGTTCCTGAAAACCCCATCGCAGGTCAAAATATCATAAATTAGGTCCATTGTAACATGGGGTTCATTGGGAAAGGTTCTTGGTCAGTCAAACACCCATATGTACAGTAAACCCATGGTAACTCGGTATTTGATATCTCGTAATTTCATATAATTCGGCACAGACATGGCCTCAAAATTTAGTATAGAATTACTCGAGAAATGCCAAGATATATGAAATTATCTGGGAAAATCTCAGCATATTAGGCCGCATGAGTAACAGTAAAGCCAGGCGGGACACCGCGCCGCGCTCCAAGCGTAAGCCAGTCTGGCTCTTGTTATTGTTGTAGTCGGATGTGCGAGGCTTGTCTCTCTACACTTTGCTCTCTGCTTGTGTTCTCCCTCATCAAACATCACTGATATGGCATCTGCACCTTCAAGGAGCTTTAGGAAGGGCATGAAGCTAAACTCCCTGAGCCTTCATGATAAAAATAAAGTGTTAGACCGAGTGGATATTGGCGCATCCATGCGTATAGTGTGAGGAGTTTGGGATCAAGCCCAGGACATTTTACGACATACAAAGGAATTGGGAAAGGATTTGGAAGCACTTTTTAAGTCTAGAGGATACTGCCAGCTCAAATAAATGCAAAAAAGAATTAAGCCTGCAAAGTTTACTGATTTAGATCAAGCTGAACAAGCGGTACAAGCAGGAATGTGAGTCTGGCATCAACGTATGCAGAGTGGACATTCAAAATGCCGCAGCTCGCTTACCACAACACCTTAAGATACAAGGCTTCAACACAAGTGCTGGTTGACTTTTCAATTTCAGAAGCCGTCATTGCTTGGTTAACTGGAAAGTTGTTGGCGAGTCTTCCAGTGTTGATGAAGGAAGTGTTGAACCCTCCAGGAAACGTCTTGCGAAAATTATTGAAGACGTTCAGTTATTGGTCAGCCAGATAAATAACACTGATGAAAAAGTCTTTTTTTTTGGAAGGCTCCACCATCCAACGCCCAGGCTTACAGGCACGAGGCACACATAGCTGGCAGGAAGATGGCAAAGGATCACGTCTCGATTCTTGTCTGTGCCAATGCTGACGGCATCCACTGGTTGGAACCGATGGTTGTGGGAAAGGCAAATAAGCCGCGAGCTTTAAAAAATATCATGAACACCTTACCAGTGATTCACAAGGGGAATAAGACTATCTGGTTCACTTGCAACATCTTCCACACCTGGTTTCACAGCCACTTTGTACCTGTTGTCATCAGGCATCAGACAGAAGTGCTAGGTATTTCTAGGGATAATGTGAAGGCCATCCTGCTCCTCTATAACGCCCCTGCACATCCTGCTGTGGAGGAGCTTGTGGGACGTGGTGGTCATATCAAGGTCTTGTATCTCCAACACCACCTCCATAACCCTTTCACCGCATGTCACGCACTTGCCATTTTATTCTGGCTACTGCCAGATGATTTTATTCAGCTTAGGGTAACCTGCTGCTGTTAAAGGGTTAATACAGCCACTGGACCAGGGAGTGATCGAGTCCTGCAAGCGCCACTACAGGTACAAGTACCAGGGGGAATGCCTTGTGGTGTTGGAGGACGAGGGTGATACAGAGGTTGACACGAGGGGAGCTCGCACTTTGGAAAATTACAAAGCCTACAACATATGTAATGCAATGTTTAACTGGGCAGAGGCACGGAAAAGCCTCAGTGTAACTACCCAAGCCAATGCGTGGAACAGACTTTTGAAAGGCACTGAGGTCAAGGTCAACTTTGCAGGGTTTGGCATTGATGATTTTGTGAACGTGCTACACCGAGGTGGCGAAACTGGGGTGCGAGGACAATGTTTTTGAGTGGCTGGAGGTACACAATGCAGAACAAGGATTTTGTCATGACACAGAGGAGGAGATAGCTAAAAGTGTCTCTGAAGAAAAGACAGAAGAACAAGATGACGAATGTGATGACAAAGATCCCAGTCCACGGCCTAAGCTCTCTGATCTCAGATTTCACTTGGACAAGGCCTTGGAGGCAGTGGGGCAGTTGCCTGACCTAGAGAAACACTACTCAACTCTTAGAGACATCAGGGCAGATGTCAAAACACATCAACACACCAACTTCAAGCAAGGGAAAATATCTGATTTCTTTAAACCTGTGTCATCCTTCCTCCAGCAGTGAAGCCTCCTTAGTGATACCTTCAGTATCAGGATACAGTGATCCCTCGGTTAACGAACGCCTCAGTTAACGAAATTTCGGTTAACGAATTACCTTCCATAAGATTCTTCACTTCGGTTAACGAAAAAATTTCGGTTAACGAATTCCTTACGAATTTTTCCCAACATGTTTTCGCCTGCATTTGGCTGCTCACTAGCTGTAGTATTAGTCCGCCAATACAGTAATTGGTTTTAGGGCTTAAATTCGTTACCATTTTAATAAATATCAAGAAGGTTGTATTATTCAATAATTTTAAAAGTTTTATATTAAATTTTTTAGTCATTTTAACAATTATTGAACATAACTGAAGTACTGGAAACAATTTTTTTGCACGCTAAACAGCCACTCAACACACCAAGCTTGGCGTCAGTTTGTTTATCGGTTCAGAGGAAGGAACAGCTTGTTCGAGACTCTTCAACATAAACGCTTTTTTTCTGTGTTCCAGTCAAATTATTGGTCATTTTGAAATATATTTGTGTTGATTTAAAGAAAATAATCTTGAATTACACCAAGTGAACTAAAATTTTATGGGTGAAATGGCACCATGGGGTGACTTCTCTTCCACCCCAATGCCTTCTCTTCTCCCTTCTCCACCCCCATTCTAATTCCCATCATCATCATCATCCAGGAGCCTTCATCATACACACCTCAAAGTATGTGTACTTTTCTACCTTTTTTGTTGAATTTAGGCAATTTTCGGTGAGCTGGAACCAATTACCCAAAAACCCATTGAAACAATGGTTTCGGTTAACGAGCAACCTTCTAGAACGAATTGTGCTCGTTAACTGAGGGACCACTGTACTCTTCCTCAGACACCACTTCCAGCAGTGCCAGTTTAGTACAATGAGTGATTATACAGTGTACTGTACATCTTATAGTGTTAACATAGTGTTTAAGTGAATATACCCTGTAGTGTTTAAATGAAAATACAGGTAGTCCCCAACTTACGACTGCTTGGACTTACGTCCATCGGTACTTACGACCTGCTCTGACCTTACGACCGTCGGGACATATGACCGCGGCAGTCGGGACCAAAAATATTTTCAAATGATGCGCGCATTTTCTATACCGAAACGTTTCTGTCCCGGGCGAGAGCATGGGTACACTCACTCAGTGGAGCGCTTAGCCGACCACAATATAATCATCAACAAAGCTATTGACCTCGGGCTTCTGAGAAGTCTTATACCATGGCTTACAGACTTCCTCAGTGACCGACGCCAAGCTATACGCTTCCGAGGGGCTGTCTCCACCTTTCAGTCACTCACCTGTGGCGTCCCCCAAGGCACCAAGATGGGACCACTCTGCTTCCTTATGCTCATCAATAATGCCCTAAGAGAAACCCCTGCTCGCTGGAAATATGTCGACGACTCCACCATTGGGATCAGCGTCAACAATTCTGCTTCCGACTATACCGCCCTTCAGGATTTATTGAACAGTCTCCAAAACTGGGCCACCAACAACCATGTCACCATCAACCATACCAAGACCATGGTTATGCACATCAACCTCTCCTCCGACATTGTCCCACCTCCTTCCATAACTTTAGGTCCGAACACACTCCAGGTTGTAGATTCCACGAAGCTCCTCGGCGTCACCAAAGACAACAAACTAAATTGGAAACCACACGTCAGTGAAGTTGTCAAATCCTCCAGTTTCCATCTCCACCTCCTCCGCCGACTCAAGTCCCTCGGAGTTCCTGCACCCGAGCTCCTCAGTGTTTACTCAGAATTCATACTTCCCAAGCTCACCTATGCCTCCCCTACCTGGTCTTCCTCCCTAAATGCTACACAATGTAAACACCTAGAAAAAGTGCAAAAGAGGGCATGCAAGATTATTCTCTCCCCTTCCTACTCCACATATCAAGAAGCGCTCAACACACTGACCCTTTCGACTCTCACTGACCATCACCACGACCTCATCTGCAAATTTGGTAAGAAGCTTCTACGCCATCCTCGACACCGGCTCCTACTACCACCCGAGATCCCTAGCCCGAGAATTGCTGTTCGACACCACAACCGCATCCAGCCCATACGTGCACGAACTGATCGCTATAAGAACAGCCCAGTCCCAACCATTGTAAAAATTATCGATAACTTGTAATAAACCAGTGTATTCACTCCCAGTAAATACTACTTCTTGCACTGTCACTATGTTGAAATGCCCTGTAGTTTGAGCTTTTCCCCATCTAGTTATTATATATCTTATTTATATCACTTATGTTATTTGTATATTATTTGTAATTCAAAACCCATTCCCCAAATATGTAAC